CCATCCCACATTTCTAGCTTGCCCATTGGATCCTCATGTCTCACTGCCCACTGGACATCGCCCACTGGATGTCTCTACAGTGCTTTTAAACAGTCATCTCCCCCCAGACCTGGTTTCCTCTGCTTCCCTCTCTTGGTGGCCCGCACCACCATCTCTTTAGCTGCCCAAGTCAGCTGTACTCACCTGACTCCCTCAACCCCTATAGAGCAAACCGACATCCAGTGCAGGCAAGCATCAGGTCCAGCTTTGTCTCCTTAATGTCTCTCAAGTCCATCTTCTTTTCTCCACTGCCGCTTCCTTGATTCAGGCCAGTGTCAGCTTTCTCTCCTCGACTGCTGTTGTGGTTTCTTAAAAGTTCTTCCTGGCTCCATTTTCACCCTATTCAATCTTTTCTCTGCTTTGCATCCAGACTTGTTTCCTCTTTTTCTTCTTCTTTTCTCCTCCTTCTCATCCTCGACCCCACTCTTTCTTTTCTTCTTTGACTAAAAGGCCAATCTAATTTTATGGCTCTTTTATATGAACATTTTCAGACCATTGCCCTGAGAGTGAGGTTCAGAACTTTTAGTATATCTTCCAGAGTTCTTTTCTTATTCCTTGTCTTTTGAAACATCTCCCCCAGCCCCTTCTCTACCCTCCCAAACGTTACCTGTGCTTCCAAGAATGCAAAGTGCTTTTTCTGATGGGGCCTTGGCAAAGGCAATTTCAAGGCCTGGCTACTTGCCCTTCACACTGTCTATCCTGTATCTGTCATAGCACCAAGCACACACAGCTAGTCCACCTCTTTGAGGGTGTGTGTGTGTGTCATGGTTGCTGCTGCAAGTTGGTACCTAGTATAGTGCCAGGCATGAAGTAGGCTTCCAGTGAATATTTATTGAAAGGATGAATGGATAAGCAGCATGACCCCTGAGAGTTCAGTTTTGAGCTGTATGTAGCACAACAAAGGCCTTCATCACCGGTCAAAATCCCGTTAGAGTGAAGCACATTAAGTTGTATGGGCAATAGTTTTGGTCTTGTCACTGAATTAGGGGGTGAGGAGTAGGACTTGAACTCCAGTTGTTCCTTGGATGTACTTGGAAAGATGAGTTCTGTTGTCTTACCACTTGAGTGGATGTTATTAAGATATAGATACAATTTTTAAATATTTACTTCGTATTAGCTATTACAGTCACCTCTCTGAGTGGATGATAAGCAATTTAGGTCACTGTTTTGCTGGTGTCCATCTGTCCCATCAAGGCATAGTTAGTTAATGTGCAGAGGGTTACTGGCAATTTCCCAGAGAGGGTTACCACTGTCCTTTTAATTCTGAAATCTTCATTTGAGATGAATGGAAACCTTCATTTGTTTATTAGTTCTGATGTGAACATCTGCTCACTATTCTCAGCTCATTAAATAATAGATTCTTTCCCTTCATCGTAGTAGGTTTTGAGGGTT